TATAATGACATTCATCATTGGAAATTTGCACCTTTACATAATCTCTCTTGGTTCTTATTTTTCACCCTCCCCCCTGCCCTCCCTTCAATCCCCCCATCCCTCCCTATCTATAAAGACTTTGTTTCCATTTTTTCATTTTCTCATATTAATTCCTTTCCCTTCTTTCCTTTCCTCTACCCCTCCCACTTCGCCTTCCCCTTTGCCCCATTTCTTCCTATTTCATATTATCTATTATACCCATTAGTCCTTATTTACACTTTCAGTTTCTCACACTAGAGAAACTATTCAGTATTTACACGTGTGTCCTATTTCACTTAAGCGTATCTCTTCCATGTGCATCCATTTAGCTATAAATGTCTCTAATTTCTCATTTTTTATGGCTGGGTAGTACTCCATTTTATAAAAAAGCCGCATTTTCTTTATCCAGTCTCCAATTGATGGGCACTTGGGCTGCATGGGTGCACATATATCATTGTGGTATGGTTCTTTCTTTCTTTTTTTTTGGTACTGGGGATTTGACTCAGGACCTTGCACTTGCAAGGCAGGTGATGGAACCACTGAGCTAAATCCCTGGCCCCGTATGATTCTTTTAATTCTTTGGGGAAGATACCCAGTAGGGGAATAGCTGGGTCAAATGGGGCTTCCAGTCCTAGTTCTTTGAGGTATCTCCATACTGATTTCCACAATGGTTGCACCAGTCTACACTTCCACCAGCAGTGGAGCAGTGTTCCTCTTTCCCCACAGCCCCGCCAGCATTTGTTACTGGTTGATTTCATGATAGCAGCCATTCTTTCTGGAGTGAGGTGGAATCTCAGCGTTGTTTTCATTTGCATCTCTCGAATGACCAGTGATGTTGAACATTTTTTCATATGTTTGTTTGCCATTTCTTTGAAGTAGAAAGTTTTAAAAACTGCAATTTGGATCTGCCAAAAGTGGGTTGGAAATATTTGGGAAAACAAATGCCTCTAGCTCAAGATGCACAGAGTTTTTTTTGTCCTTATTCCCAACACAATACAGTATGACAACTGTTGATATAATAGTTACATTGTATTAGATAAGTAATGTAGAGATTATTTCAACATATACGGGAGGACGTGCGTAGGTTATATGGAGATATTACACTATTCTATATAAGGGTCTTGAGCATTTGTCAGTTTGGGTATTTTCGAGGTCCTGGAATCAATCCCCCTCGGATGACAAGTATTATAGTTTGCAATAGGAAAAGGGGAAGAACTTTTACTACTGTTTTAAGCTTTACCTAGGGAGTAAGCATAACAACAAAATCAACTTATAATTATCCATTAAGTGGTTTTATTGGAGTATTAAAATTAGATTTCTTAGCTGGATTGTTGATTATGAAGGCTGGTTTTGTTTTTGGAATTCTTTTTTTTTTTTTTTGGTACAGGGGACTGAACTCCGGACCTTGTATTTGTGAGGCAGGCAGCAGAACCAATGAGCTAAATCCCCGGCCTCTGTTTTTGAAATTCTTAAAACAAGGATAGAAACCTTTGAATATGTGACTTTAAACAAAATGACCTGTATGTATCATTTTAAATTTAGATCCTTCCTTGGATGTGTGGGACCTCTCCTCACCTTTATTATCATTATGGATAAACAGGTTTTACATTTACTTGGGCTTTGCTTTTGGCCTTAGCCTTTGGATTTGTTTCCAAATTGTCATCAAGAAGCAGGTAAGTGGTATGGTTTTTCTTTTTTTTCTTTTTAAAGAGAGAATAGATAGCAAAGTTCATGAAGAATTTAGAGTGCAGATTTTCTAATGCTTTCAGACAAATACAGAAAAGAGGAACTTTAAATCACTTATGTTTGATCTCTAGATTTTTTTTTTAATGGTTAAAAATTTCTCAGTTTTTAGAGAATAAGTTATAATGGACTAAGTTGGATACAGGATGCTTTTTTTGTAATGAGAAATTAACTTTTTATAAGAAAAACAAGCAGTTTTCACTTTTAAGAGGTAGGCGTTCTCTCCACTACTTAGGAGTCAGAAGTAATTTTCTACTGCTACTCCACTGGGAGATGTTACAGATGAAAGTTGTACATTTTTGGTTCTCTGTACCCTCAGGTACTGCAGGATCTGCCGAATGTGGGTTGGAAATATTTGGGAAAATAAGTGTCTCTAGCTCAAGATGTACAGACCTTTTTCTTGTCCTTATTCCCAACACAATACAGTATGACAACTGTTGATATGATAGTTACATTGTATTAGATATTATAAGTAATGTAGAGATTATTTCAACATATATGGGAGGACGTGCATAGGTTATATGGAGATATTACACTATTCTATATAAGGGTCTTGAGCATTTGTCAATTTGGGTATTTTCGAGGTCATGGAATCAATCTCCCTCCGATGACAAGTATTATAGTTTGGATCTTAAATTTCCCCAGAAAGGGCAGTAACCAAAGGTACAGTCACCAGCCTTGTGCTCTGGGAGGCAGTAGAACTTCTAGGGAGTGGGCCTCGTGGGCCGAAGCGGGGTCACTGGGGGTATGCCCTTAAGGGGATGTGGGTGCACCAGCCCCTTCTTGCTGGTTTTTCTTCCGGGTCACCATGCAGTGAGCAGCTTTGCTCCCTGCTGTGTTGTGCTGGCTCACACAGGCTCCATATCCTGGGCCAACCAGCCATGGACTGAAACCTCCAAAACAGAGCCCAGATAAATTTTTAAAATACATTGATTGTCCTGGTTATTTTGTGACAGGGATAGAAAGCTGGCCAACACCAAGTGAAGACTTTGTAGTTTTACCTCAGAGAGAATGTTGATCCAAAAGATAGGTCCTGCTTTTAAAGCACCTAATTATCCCAAGAGGTTCATATTTGAGAACAACCAGAAAGATTAAGAGAATTATAAGTGGGTGGATCAGTGTGTGTGGTCATTTCATCCCTGCTGAAGTGGGGAAAAGATTGAGAGCTCATGGATTTTTGTGCACTTGTTTATTTTTAAGACCAAGAACTCACAGGAGAAGTCTATTCCAGAAGCAACTCAAGATTTGATGACTAATGGTTATATCTCCCTTCAAAAGAAGGAGATCTTTGTGTCTGGAGTGAAGATTTTCTATGGTTCTCAGACTGGTACAGCAAAAGTAAGAACTTTTTAAGATGCTTTTTCTTTGGTTTCTTGACATTTGAAGAACACTCCTAGAAAGTGTCTTTTACAAATTAAACGCAAAGGGGGTGAATCCAACAAAAAGAAAAAGTCATGACAAGGCTTTTAAAACTTTTAACTTCAGGCCGGGGATTTAGCTCAGT